TCTGTCATCTCTATTATGTTCACAATAAATTTAAAATTAGAAGCATTCTAAAACTATTGACTCTATCAAGTACAAGCATCTTTTATTCTTGGACAAGAATAAACGGTAAACAAGGATAAAAATGATACTGGGGTTGACAGAGTCACAAGTTTTGAAACACACCTCTGTAAGTAATACAGGCACAGGTAAGAAAGGAGGCTGAGAAGAAGACAAAGTCTTCCTAGAGGTACAGCAGCAATAATGTACGCTATGACTTTACTTGTGATACATCTTACCTTACTTATGGGTTTGCCTAATCTTTTTAATATCTATTGCTTTTAGTACATTATAGATTCATTTATTTAATAAGATCAAGATAATAGATACATTTTACATTGCTTAGGGATCTGTCTAATCCTATTGGAATCTATTATTTTTAAGTATATGTATATATATATATATATAAAAGTTTAGACTCATTTATTTAGCAAGACAAAGATTAAATAAGTACATTCAATATATACTCTACCTTGCATAGGGGTCTGTCTAATCTTTATAGAACTATTATTTTTAGTATATTTTAGTCTCACTCTCATTTGGGTTATGTTCATATATCACTGTTAGTCGACTGTCAGTACTAAAAATCTATAGATAGTTTCCATTATGTATATTATACTGTACTAACTGGCAATAATATATGAACACGGTCTTGGTACGACGAAGATTTAATATACAAAGTGCATGCACATGTGATCAGAACATGCATACGTGATCCCAGCATATGCATAGTTCGTTACATGATGGTCAACATGACAAGTTTCGTAACCTCAACAGTAGTGAACATTAGATTAATATCTCGCTTCACGGAACAGAGTGACACTTTCTTTTCTGCCAGATTCTTTCATTTCACGCAAAAAACGCGTCGAATGAGCCTAATTTCATTAAAATTGGAGGTGAGGTAGCTGTTCCAAATAATTACCTTTTTTCAATTATATAATATAATTTTTTACTTACGAAACGTCATTGGCATCTCGAGCGGGACCAATATCAGACCGTGTTGTAAATCCCGTTGCTCTGAATAGAAAAAAAGTAATTACATAAGTTTGTTATTTAATTATAGTTTATATTGATACAAGGAGATAAATACATACAAATACTATATACCGAGTTAAAACTTACCCTCTACCAACACCGGCAACATATCCCAAGGGTGCCGGTACACCCAAAAAATGCTTTTTATTCCGTGTATTTAATGAAACCGAAGAAGCTGTCATCTTGGTGGTTCTTAAGTTGTGTCTATGGGTGCTTTCCAATTGCTTAACACATCTTAATACCAATGTATGTACACAGGAATGCACAAAGTGTAATGCCTAATGTCTAATTCACACTGCAGCAACCAAGTGAGATGATATTTACAGTGGCGTAAACTATATCGTGTAGCTGGTTGGTTGCTGTTCCGCTGCTTGACGCTTGCTGCGTCCAGTGTGAATTAGGCATAAAATCTATTTTTATAACATAATTGTAAGTAGTCGTAGTTGTAAGAATTGACCAATCAAATCAAATGTGAGGAGAATATTTGACTGTGATTGGTCAATTCTTACAACTACAATCACAACTACGCTTACGACTATTGTAGAATAGGCTTACGGTCTACAATAAGCAATAGCAGTAGTGGGTTAAGAAGTAGGATTAAGAAGTAGAAATCGACCAATGATAATTAATTATCTATCTCACATTCGACTATGATTTGTTGATTTCTACGCCTACTCCTTAATCCATTACTGCTACTGCTCCGCATAAATGCGTCGCCTACAATATACGGAGTAAGAAGTAAGAGTAAGAAATTGACCAATCACAGTCAAATGTGAGAAGAATAATTAACTGTGATTGGTCAATTTCTTACTCTTACTTCTTACTCTGGGTATTGTAGGCGATACATAAAGCCGAAATCAGAGACTCGATTGTGTACTTCGAAATGAGGTGAAAATTACAAAAGTGAGCAATGATTACTAGGTATTGACCAATTAAATTATGAATATTCTAATGAATTTGTTCACTTTTGTAATTTTTACAATCGACTCTCAGCTACGCATTGAAAATTGAAATTGAAGATTAAAAATTGAAATTTGACCAATGAAGGTGTGATCCCACCGCTGAAAATGAACGTCGTAGCTTCAAGTGAAAATCCAGCCTAATGCATAATGTATAGTGCAAAAGGGAATCAATCGAAATTCTTCTTTTCTATGAAATAGGAAGAAAGGAAAGATTCTGATTAGTTGACTTGCTTATACACTATGCTTTTTTTTTTTATGCAAAAGTACTGCGGCCTTAAGTCTGGATTTATGATAGATGTATTAGGGCCCCCGTACACGAATTTTCATAAGCGTAAGCCTAAGACGTAACATAAGAATAATTAGCCAATGGATGAGTGTATAGAACAATTGAACCAATCGTAAGCGTTCGTAGTTTCTGAGACGTAAATTTAAGCCGATAAGCCAATCAAAATATTACTTTAAATAGAAATAATATTATGGTAATCGGTTGTGCAGAAAATTTGAGAATAAGAAGAATATAAATTAAAGAAAAAAGAACAAAAATTAAGATAAGTAAATAATATAAAACTTAAAAATTTAGTATTAATATATATATTTTATTTAATTTATTTTTAAAACAAATTATTATTAAAGATATTCTCAAAAGTGAAAATGAGTTATTTGCTATATATTTACAAAAAAATATGTATATTATTAATTTTGTGTTTTCATATTTTGTGTAATATCGTTCATATGAAAAGGTGATAAACTTTTATTGGGGTATTATAAAGATATTTATATTTATTTATTTCAACACTTATTTACTATCAAGTCAATTCGTTAATAATGTTTTAGTGAATTTTAAGCAATATTATAAAGATTAATCTTCTAAAATATATCAAATAAATAACAATAAATAAAGGGCAAAGTAAGAGTCAAATACATTTCTTTAAAAAAGTCACACAATTAAAAGAATAAATTACAAATAAGAAAAGTAAAATTGAAAAAATATATAATAAAATAAAAACTTAGTTTAAATACAAATAAATTATACAGTCTGTTCAATAAGAACGTGATGCTCGTTATTCTACAAAGAGCGACCGTAGCGACATTTTCCTGAACTCGTTTGAACCTTTATTTCGTGCTCTTTTGCGCAATATATACCTTACCAGCACATTGTGTAGTTTACGTCAGCGAATTTATTATTTTTAGAATGAGTGCCAAATTCTTGAAGCGGCACGAGGCAGTGTTTTTAGTGAACCATGCGAAAGGACCGAAACTGACGTGTAAGGCGGCTGCAAAATATATACGGAAATCGGAGGCATTCGTCAAGAAGTGGGTGCAGCGATATTTGGAGATTGGGAATGTAGACGATCTGCCTGAGAGAGGATTATCCCGCGCAACAACAACGAAGGAGAATAAAGCAATCCTGCGTCTCTTTCAAGATAAACCAGGCATTTCACTGCGCTGTGCCCAAATAAAACTTCGTAAGAAAGGAATTGCCATCTCTCTAATGGTTCTGATAGAAGAAGTTGGGTGTTGCAAGAAGACAATGATCCTAAACATCGCAGCAAACTGTGCAGAGCGTGGAAAGATGAAAATAACGTCACGGCGATGGAATGGCCGGCAATGTCTCCAGATGCTAATCTCATTGAAAATGTGTGGTCGTACATGAAGATGAAACTCAAAGGAAAGCCAGTGTACACGGTGAAGCAGCTGTCATTTCAAATTAAGAAGATATGGCGATCTTTGCCAAAGGAATATGTAGAAAACCTCATCGAAAGTATGGAAAAAAGGTGTCATGCAATAATCAGTAATGGAGGTGATTGGACAAAATATTAGGTAATTACGCAATAGCTAGCAGTGTACTTCAATAAAAAAAAAAAAAGTCTAAATGTTTATAGTTTTTTGATTATGGCAGACACTTTCTTATTGAACAGACTGTAAGTTTCGGCTACCGGATTGAGCCCTCTTCAGACATTAACTTATCGAAAAAATCGCAGTACAAAATTAATTATCGCAAATGTTCGCATGTTCAACATATTCACAGTTCGGGTGAGTCTTGATGTATCAACATTATTCACAACTTCTCTGGTATACAAAGCATATTATTATCTGGATATACAAGATGCATCAAATTTTGCTATAATATAATTCATTTCTTTCAAATTTTTTGTTTTTCAATAAGTTATTAGAAAATAATTTATTAGAAATTAAGAAATAAAATACTGATATAATTTACATTTGTAGCAATGAATAATATATGGAATGATTCTAATTTTCTTCTAACAATTGTCTTATGGTCTGGATTATTCATTATTTGGAAAAGAAAATAATATAAACAGAAAAGATTTTGGGTGAGGCCTATAAATGAAACTCGATGGCAACAAGGAGTTTGCTGATTTATTTCAAGAATTAAAGGATGACAGTGAAATGTTTTTTAAATATACAAGAATGACAGTTGATTGAATGACAGTGTTTTCATATTTTACTAGAAATGGTATTTCCAAAACTTGAAAAACAAAGCTGGAGAGCTCTACCACCTGAACTACTACTTGTCTTTAACACTCAGGTATGTTCTTTAATATGTTGTACTTTATCTAATTCAATATATCTTTGAAAAAATATTTGTAATATCAATAAAAACATTCATTATAAAAAATTAATATTATTAATTAACATAAATATTTAAATAAAATACTGATATAATTTTTTTAAAAATATGTCTATTATATAAAATTATAGATAAAAATTTCATAAAAATTATGTCTAAATAATACGTCAGAAGCATTATTTTTAAGAAAAATAAAATAAAAATATTAAATTAATTATTATTTTAGATATTTAGCTACTGGAGATCACATACTCGTACTATCCATAGCACTAGCATACCGTATTAGAGAATCGACAGCACGCGTGCTATTATAAAAGAAACAACTGAAGCCATTTCGAGTATTTTATTTCCTAAAGTATTACAGCCACCTGAAACAGATTATATGCTAATTAGTGCAGGAGTTTTTGAAAAGTGGAATTTTCCAAATTGTTTGGATTCATTTGATGGCAAACATTGTGTTATTCAAGTTTCTCCTCTGGCAGTTTATACCACAATTATAAGAAAATATTTAGTGTAGTATTAATGGTTGCTTATGATTCAAATTATAAATTCACCTTAATCTATATTGGCTCGTATGGAAGTCAAAATAATGCAGATATATTTTATGAATCTGAATTCGGAAATATGTTAAGAATACAAAAATTAAATGTGCTGAGAAAAATAGAAAAATTGCCAGGAAATAATGAAACAGCTGGATATTTTTTTATTGGAGATGAAGGGTTTCCTTTATCAATAAATCTAATGAAACCTTACTCAGGAAGAAACTTAAATGAAAACGAAGAAATATTTAACTATAGATTATCACATGCACGAAGGACAATAGAGAATGTATTTGGGATTTTAGTTTCTCGTTGGAGAGTATTACGTAAACCTATATGCATGTATCCTAACACTGTTGACAAAATAATCTTGAGTACAGTATGCCTTCATAACTTTTTAAAAAGCAGCCTGCAATCTATAATAGATTTTATTGTCCTCCTAACTTCACTGATACTGAAAGTAATAATGGAGATGTAATCAACGGTGCTTGGAGAGAAAATAATGTACATATTCAAAACATTCAACCATGCAATGCTCGTCGAGCCACAATTCAAGCATATGAATAAGATAAACTCGCAGATTATTTTTTCATATTAACTTTATTATATATCAATCTCGTAATATTACTTTTTTCAGATTTTTTGCAAAAGCTTCTTCCATTATTTTGATCACAATATACAATTTACATATATTAGGTATAGTAAAAAGTTATCGCGTATTTTTAAAAGACATCTATCAGTAAAAACCGCAATTACTTTCTTACCAACAATATAAATATATCTTGATAGAGTAAAGTTTCAGCTTTAAAAATCTCTTTTTTAAATTATACGATACGACAATTTTTAATGGAGTTATGAGCAATTAAAGTCAAAATAATTCTTTTATTTAATCCGCGATAACTCAGTAATCAAAAGTCGTAGGAATATTAAAAAAAAAAACGATTTTGTAGGGAAAGTATCAAGCTTTCACGATAGGTAATCGAAAATTTTCTCAAATTCGTTTTGGACACGTTACAAATCCACAAAGTGAGAAGATAAATTTTTCGTCTTTTTCAGCTCGTAGTTTTTGGTATGTAAAAATTATCAAACTCATATAAACTTAAAAAATGTGATAAGCTTTTAGAAGTAGAGATTTCAAGCTTTAAAACCTTTTTTTTTTTTTTTAATTTGAATTTCATTCATTATTGACGAAGATATTGTATATAAAACTTTGAGCTAAAAAATACGCGATGACTTTTTACTACATCTAGTACTTCCTGTAGAGCTTAAGATTATTTTTAAATATTTTTATTAAACGGAAAAATAACTGCTCATTTTAAAAAAGGAAATATCACAGTAGGATAACTTTTTTGAAAAACAATTTGAATAACATGTATATTTCAAATTGCATGTAAGATATGTACAAGGCTTTTTGGGTATAAGCATATATTTAAAAATAAAAATCCTTAATTTTTCCATCAAAATATATCAAAATGTATCAAAATGTAAATAAAATTTTGGTATTCCTAAATAAATATGTATATATTACTAATTATATAAATAATACAATAAATTATGTAACAATATTACGTCTATTCAATTTACGGCCAGCAGGGTTATTTTGTAACTCTTAACACAAGTTTCGTTATCGTTATCGTCGCTGCATAGCTTTTTTTTTACTGTGATAAAAAAGTTGGGCAACGACGTTATAACAATAACGAAACTTGCGTTACAGAATAGAGGCTTAATAATATAAAGTGAAAAGTGTATACACTGATAATAATTTAAAGTTACATCGTAGATACAATCAGTACACCTTATTTGTAATATTTCATTGGTATCTGAATCCAGATCAGAATACCTTTAATATCTTGAGTCTTTCCCGTCATTATTTTTTTTCTTTCTTTTTTTTTTCGATATTGTATCATTTTTTATCGTTCAAAATTGTATCGAGGTAAAAAATAGAACAAGAGAGAAAATAATGTATATATTCTAAATATATATATTTCAACCATGCAGTGTTCGTCAAACCACAGTAAAACATATAAAAAGCGAGATAAACTTGATTTTAACTCCAAAAGGAGAAATATAAATATGTAATGGCAATATGAACATGTAAAAAGAGACCCGTAACAGAATGTAAAAATCAACGTTAAATAACAAATCATTAAATAATAAATCAACAGAATTAATTTCTTATTATATATCATATATCTATAATATTACTTTTCTTTCAACAAATTGCACATTCATTCGGTGTCCGATTGTCGTGCAGTGAAGACGTGTTTGCGCGCGCTCTATTATTGTACGAAATAGACTATTGGTTCGCCGCGAGTGCCTTATATACAAGAATATGTATATAGATCACGCATTAAATCCAAATATAACTTAGTGTTTAATTAGTTATTAAAAGTGTAAACCTCGTGTCTTTGACTACAAAGGCTCGTGAAATACCACTCAATATGGCCCCAATGGAAAATAAATCTGCACCCATGCCTTCGTACACGTCTATTGTACAACAAGAAAAAGTTCTTTCTCGAGATTTAGCCATCGTCATAGATTCAGTCGAAAATCATACCTTGGAAGACTACGCGGTCGAACTAGCAAGAATAGTAAATCCAAAGGACATTTTATATGTATCTCGCATCAGTCAAGCTAGAATATGCTTCTATCTTCGCAACAAAGAAATAGTTCAGAACCTTACAAAAGAAGACAACAAAACTACACTGAAAATTGGTGAACACACGCTTGCAATTAGAACCTTAGTTTCTAAAGCTAAAAGGATAATTGTTTCAAATGTCCAACCGTGCATTCCTACCTCACTAATTCAGCAAGAATTAAATAAACTCGACATTCATCCTGTTTCATCAATAACTAGTATTAAAGCAGGCATTCATCGTCCAGAGTTGGGCCACCTTATGAGTTTTAGAAAACAACTTTATATTAATCCAGAAGATCTCGACAAAATTCCTACAAATTTAAAGATTTCTCACGACAATGTTAATTTCTGGATTTACTTTTCTACAGAAAAATTATCTTGCTACCTGTGTCATGAAGAAGGTCATCTAGCTAAATACTGCAAAAACTCTGAAATAAACACAACGACAAATCAAGAATCCAGTCCAACTCGTCAATTCATAGAAAATATCGACATCGATTCCACGGCGCTCGCCTCGGACACTCTACAGGACACACGTGCTAGTAATTTTCCACCCATCCCAACATCTCCAGCTTTAAAAAGACTACGCTCTCCTACTGCGTCATCCTCTTCTACATCAACTTCACCGCTTCCGAATATCAACGATGGTAAAGAATCATTTATTAAGCCTAGCCTTAAAAAAAAGAAAGAAAAAATAGAAAAACCTTCTAATTATTCGAATCATTTATTACCGGCTAAAGAATTCGTAGAATATAAAGAAAACAACTTCCCACTATCTTTCGACGACCTAGTCGCGTTTCTTGAAAACACACGCGGCAAAACAAATATAACCGATATAGCTAAATTGTTTACAACCGACCTCATGCAACTCTCTGATATGCTCACCGGAATATACAATCACTTGACAAATCGTAGTATTAAAAGCAAAATCACACGCATTCGAAACGTCTTAAGTAATAATACCTTGCAATACCAATTCGATTCCGACTCTAGTTTCTCTGATTCAAAACCCTTGTAAAAACTAAAAAAAAAAAAAATTAATGAGCCAAGGTAAAGCTCACTTAAAAATCGTTTTTTGGAATTCTCGTAGTATAATACAACGCAAAAACGAACTACCCGATATTACGCGAACCATCGACATCTTCATATGTGTAGAGTCGTGGTTAAGCCCGGAAATTCATTTCGAAATTCCTGGATTTTGGTCCTTTAGAAAAGACAGGCCTAATGGGCAACGCGGCGGCGGTATTCTATTTCTAGTCCGCAAGAATTTATTATACACGGAATTAAAGCAAGTTTGTATACAAACAAACAAGGTCGAAATCGCTGGCATAAGAATCACAAACATCGATCCTCAAATCGATATAGTCGCATGCTATAGACCACCAGGACATATACTATCTCAGACTGAATGGAATCTAATCACTAACTCTATAGACTCCACGTCAAATTCGATTTTATTAGGCGATTTCAATGCCCATAACAAAAAATGGAACTGTTCAAATACAGATACTAACGGTACCAGATTAGATTATAGCATAGAGCTAAAAAATCTATTTTTACATAACACTAATTCAGCCACACATATCAATCTATATAACGGTTCTAAATCTAATATAGATCTTATTCTCTCATCTATCTTGATATCAGACAAAATTAACACAGAAGTCGCTGATGAAACCTATGGGTCGGATCATTTCCCTATAACGATAGAAGTTGATGCAAACAGGTCTCTTTACCATAAACAAACATTTAAATTAAAATCGGTTACGACTGACTGGAATCATTTTCTCTGTCTACTTGAACAAAATTATAGTAAATTTCTCACTTATGAGTATGATCAATTGGCCTCGCCGGATAAATACAATTTTTTTATTTCCATAATCACTGAATCCTTAAAAAAAACAACACCATGCAAAAACAATAAAAATAATAATAATAATAAAAATAATAAAACATTTCGAAATCCTGTTTCCTGGTGGGACATAGACTGCGACAAAATTAAACGTATTAGACGTGCCTCCTTCAAAAAATGGCAGTTTACCTTGAGCTTGGAGGATTTAATTAAATACAAAGAATGCTGCGCAAAAGCTAAAAAGCTTTTCAAAGATAAAAAAGTTGAATATTTTAGAAACTTTGCTAGTTCAATAGACTTTAGAATCAATCATTCATATGTTTGGAACAAATGTAAAATACTAAAAAATAAATGGATTAAAACAAAAAATTATACACCTATCAATAAAAAAGAATTTGAAAATAAATGTACTAATTGTATAAACAAATTAAGTCCTCCCTGGGCTAGTACGGATTGCCAAAACTTTCCCCCTGGACAGCCAAATGATACTTTGGATAAACCCTTCTCATATGCTGAATTTAATAGAGTTTTAAATCCGCGCAAAAACAATTCTTCTCCCGGCCTAGACGGAATCGACTACGAAATACTACAAAAGCTACCCCCTAAATTCCAATTACTCTTGCTTGATATTTTTAACGAGATGTATAAAAAAGGTGAATATCCCACTGATTGGCAACACTCCTTTGTCCACATGATAGACAAACCCGGCAAAAATAGCGTAAGACCAATTGCTTTAACTTCGTGCGTAGGTAAAGTTTTTGAAGGCTTAGTTAAAAGTAGATTACAATGGTGGGCAGAGCATGAGAATATTCTCCCAAAAAATCAAGCAGGTTTTCGAAAAGGGAAGTCATGCAATGACAATTTAGCTTATCTCACGTTACAAATAGATCAAGCTCTGGCTAACAAAAAAGAAGTCCTTGCTACCTTTTTAGACGTTTCGGATGCCTTTAATAATGTCTTACCTAACGTACTAATAAATAGACTGCTCGAATTAAAATGCTCCGAGCAAGTAATTAGATTCGTTAAATTCTTGACGTTCGAAAGATTTATTCACACTAATATCGAAGGAGATAAAACGATAAAAATCAGCAAAGGAGTACCTCAGGGAGGTGTCTTGAGTCCACTGTTGTATCTCTTATACGTTTCAAACATTAGTAACAAAATTGATAAAGATACAACAGTTCTCCAATTTGCTGACGATCTAGTTGTTTATACAACCACAACATCTCGTGAAAAAGGTAAAGGGAAACTCGAAACATCAATTAACGTTATAAATGCAAACCTCCTAGCTCTTGGACTTGAATTATCTCCCGAAAAAACAATTTTTGTACACTTCAACAAAAAAAAACATCTTCTGGGCAATTTTCATATTAAAATTGATAACTGTGAAATTAAAACAAGCGAAACCGTTAAATTCCTAGGTATAATTTTCGACTACAAAATGACGTTTTTACCACATCTTAATATGATACTAACTAAATGTAATAAAGCCTTAAATATAGTCAAATATCTGCGAGGAACATGGTGGGGCTCAGATCCTCAAACCCTTATAATTCTGTACAAAAGTTTCGTGCGTTCTATACTTGATTACGGTTGCTTTGTATATTTCCCAAGACATAAGAGTTATATTAAAAAAATTGAACAAGTACAAAACACTGCTATCAGACTAGCCTTGGGGTATAGACAAAGTACACCAACTAATATTCTATTAGCAGAATCAAAGCTTAATTTTATTAAAGAAAGAGCGAAACTTTTAGGCACTAGGTTTTTAATTAAAACAATATCAAACAAAAACAACCCTCTATATAAAGAAATAGTTTATCTCAAAAAACCACCGAAAAAGAACGACCGCATTCTTTTAGAATGCATTGACTGGATCAATAGCGAAATAATAAATATTATTGATACTCAAAACAATTATTGTCTCTACCAAGAAGAGTATGATATAAATACTATCTCTATCCCGATTAACACTGATCTTGGTAAAGAATTAATAAATGATAAAAATCCTAACTCGACCTTACAGAAATTTTTGTTTTAGACTAAAAGCCTTGACATATATACAGATGGTAGTAAAGTTACTAATGGCAACTACGTAGGTAGTGCCTGCTATGTTCCTCAATTAAAAATAGAAATTTGTAAATCCATAGATAATAATGCGTCTATATATACGGCAGAATGCATAGCAATCGAATTAGCAATGAATGTAGCACTTCAACATTATGATCAAGATATTTTCATATTCTCCGATTCTCTCAGTGTATTGCAAACACTTAACAACATAGAAGTTAGCACTACAACAAATAGATATATTTTTAATATTAGAAAAAAATACGAAATTTTCTTAAAGAAACATCCCAATTCTAAAATTCAATTTTTCTGGCTACCTTCACATAGAGGAATCGAAGGAAATGAAATGGCGGATACACTTGCGAAAAATGGGACTAAGAAAAATTATCCAAATTTTTCTAAAATCCCCTTTACTGATTTCTATGAAAAAATACAAAAATTAACGTATGCAACGACTGAACGCCAACTAACTTCTCAAGGCCAGATTAAAGGGAAAAAGTATTTCAATATGTCTTATAACAAAAGTCGTAAACTGTGGTTCCATAACAAAAAGCTAAAAAGAGAAACAATTGTCACAATTAATCGAATAAGAGCCGATCACTATAATCTGGCTGAATCTCTGGCGAAAATCAACGTAGTTAATTCACCGCTGTGCAATTGCAATAAAGAAGTACAAAATATCAACCATATTTTATGGCAATGTATTCTCTTCGACAAGCAACGTGAAAAACTTGTAAAAAGTCTTAATAAATTAAAATTTCAACTACCTCTATGTACCGATATGTTAGTCAGCAAACCGCATATTCGTTCCTGCGAACTCATTTGTAAATTCTTAAAAGAATGTAAACTACAAATTTAATGCTAAGGATAATTTCACAATGTAAAATTGTAATAAAATAATGTATTGACTATATTGTTAAAAATAATATAATGTATTATATGTCTCAATGTAAAAATTTCTGATCTTGTATAGCAGAAATAAATCTCTGCAGATTTAAAATGCTTAAATAAAAAAAAAAAAAAATTGCACATAACTTTTATAAAATTATATTAATTGAAAAAAACTGAAAAAACTTGAAATAATAAAAATGATTAAAAAATTTTACTTACATGATCATGCTATGATTTTTACTATTTCTTCCCATGAATTCTCTTCCATTAAAGAATCTTTAAAATTGGGCGATGATTTATCATATAAATGAGAATATCCTCTAACTAAATCAATTAACAAAGCATCCCCTGTGTTTGAAGTTAGAACATTTTCATCAACATTTTCATCAGTCATATTTGTTACAATGTCATCTTGAGTGAAAAAGAGAGTCATGAATCATATGTATGATCATCTTCCATTGTTTTATTTATAGGTACTGAAAAAAATTAGTGATTGATAATAACAAATAAAAATATAATAATAAAAAAATATATAAATAATCTTATAATGGCTCAATAATAATAAACAATAAATAACAAGAAGATATCAATAAAAAGGGGCATTTAATAAAAATACAATAAGTAATTTTTGACTGAACTAGTTTCAATTTTAACTCTGATCGCATTTGCTTCTTGTGAATTAATTTGATTCATTGTTTCAACTACTGGTTTACATTTTTGTTTAAACATTCAAATTTGAGAATGTGTGCTGCTACATTTTTATTGAATGACTCAACATGTTTAAATAATTTTATCATCATTATAGACTTCGATATAATGGAAGAATGTAACTAAGAATACAAGACTGAAAGCATTGCATTATTACAATAGAAGATATGAAGGAATACTACCTACGCTTTGCGCAACTATAATCTGTAGAAATTATATCTAACTGTTTTATTAATTTTGTTAAATTTGCGTTCGCTACATGTAAGCATTGAGGATAACCTAATAATAAGGTTAAAACGTATGTTCTAGAAATTTAAAATACATAAAAAAATCTGGCTTGTAGCTCCTTCTTGTTATTTATTGATAATAACGAATTTGATTAGTTACCAAGTTACATATGTTTTATAATAAAATGCAATTATTATTGTAAGATATATGTTCACACAAAAATAACCTCACATTTGTGTGAATATCTAGTAATAATTTCTAAAATAATAATTCAAGAAAAAACATAGCTCTTTAGTATAAATCAGACTTTTAAATAGAGAACTCCAAATACACAGCCGACTACAGAGAATCTTGATTCAAACACTTTCCTCTTGAAAGTTATATATATACATACCAAAGAAGATATACAGATAGGCATAAATTTGATGCACTATAGATATATCATCAACTTTTAGTTCGTGCTCAATATACACCTATATACAAATTATCCGCATGTAACGTTATGTAGAAATTTCATCCGGTTGAAATTCATCTTATTGCGAGGTTATAGATAAGTTTACTGTTATTTCCATTTCCGTTAGATTACGTAATTTAAAGTAGTATCTTGATTGGCTTATCGGCTTAACTTTACGTCTTATGGTTACTGTTATGGAATTTTGTATGCGGCAACCCTTAAGCCTTAAGCCGTAGAAATTGACCAATTACAGTCGAATGCGAAGAGAATAAAGACCATGGCACACAAAAAAACTTAAGGCAGTAAGACGTAAGCTGTAAAGAAATCAACATGTTAAATGGTTACTGCTTATGTTATGACCTTATGGATTCTGCTGTGATTGATCAATTCCCTTATGGCACACACCTTCCGTAACAGTAATCATAAGACGTATAGTAAAAATAAAGCAATCACAGTCAAGAATTCTTTTGAATCCTTAATTCTAATTGGCTGATTGACCTGAGAGAGAACATGCCAGCCCAAAACCTGTAACCGCAAAATGTTTGTGGCATAGTAAGCGTTATGCCTAATTCATACTGGATGCAGCAAGCGTCAAGCAGTGGAGCAGCAACCAATCAGTGAGGCAATATTTACAGTGGCATAAACAATATTGCCTTGCGTCCAATGTAAATTAGACATTCATTAGTTGCGACGCTCGAATCAGTTTTTTTTTTCAGTTTTCCTTTCTCTCTCTCTCTCTCTCTCTCTCTCTCTCTCTGATATCATGGCATTCTACGTGCGGACCTTTTGTAAGCCTCAGAGATAGATTTTAAGTTAGTGCTTGGTAAGATTAATCATTACTTTATGTTTATTGTAAGATCTGCATCGATTACTGCTCATGTCAATAAGTAATTACTCGTGCCGTCAGATAAACATTTATATTGTAGATTTTTTAACTTCTCGTATTCTAATCTAGTAATGCGATACTGATATCCAAGTAACACACGCAATTACGTTTCTAGTTTTTCGGTCTGTACGTTCCAAATATTCATGTGAGTTTATATTAAACCTCCTTGTGCTTGTGAGTCAGAAACAATGAGTACATTTATGTATACATATGATAATATTTCTTTGTGAACTTAGTGATTTCCCGCCAATCTTCCTTCGCTATTAGTTAGCCGTCGCCGGCGCCCAGGCATGCTCGGCGCCACATTGGGCATACCAGTCACAAGCATTTTGCATTACAGACAGGGTCACCAATCTCCCCTCTTGTTCGAGCGTTACCAACGTTTGTGCGATCTCATAGCTATGACATAGGAAATGAACTAATATTTAATATTTAATATGTTGTCATGTGGAAATCATCGTTTATGGCCGACATCTTTATCGTCATATAAGCATATGACTGTGTTCATTATGAATACTCACGCGCTTTAAGCGCTTATAATCATCATTCTATCTTTATCAAGCGCTTTTAGCTTGAAAAAGAACCCGCATAAAAATATACTACTAGTATTACTATTAGTGCTAGTACTAGTGCATAAATTCGAGTCACTATACTATTCTTTGCATTTGTATTTAAATCATTTTTATATGCATTATATTACAGTAGTGCACTAGACAATGCCACTAATCGTTCCAGCAGTGACATTATTGCATTAATAGTGACACTGTTCGTTCCAGCAGTAGCACTTGTACATTACTGCACTATTACATTACTGCACTAGTAGTGTCACAACTCATCTCAGTAGTGATACTACTAGTAACATTAACGCGAATTTATAATTACACTTCTACACTATTATCTATTCTACACTATAGTCACGAGTAGTGTCACTACTCATACCAGCAGTGACACTACTGTATTTCAAGTGATACTACTACACTAGCAGTATACACTAGCAGTATATTTTCATGCGGGAACGTAGCCAAACGTAGCAACGCCAAGCAACTGTAACAAATATGGTGATAAAAATGCCGATCGGAATGTGCGGGAAACGATGACAGCCATATTGAATATTAATTCCTCATTTTCTGTGTCATAGCTATGAGGACGCCACAAATGCTGGTGACGGAAAAACCATGGCAATTTGGTGGCCCTGGTTACAGATTTTCAGCTGGCATGTTGGGCCTCACTTAGGTTTCTTTCTGATGTGTGCCGTGGCCTTTAAGCCCATGGCACATACAAAAACGTAAGGCCGTAAGACGTAATCAATAAGCGAATTGCCCAATCACGGTAGAGACTGTAAGGCCAGTAGCGAATCCAATCTTACGATATCCTTACATTTTACGGTCTTACGTTTTTCTATGTGCTTCTGGCTTTGGAGCTACCGCAGACAAAATTTCCGTAACAGTTAACCTTAAGACGTGAACTTAATTAAGTTGATGAGCTAATCAGGATACTGCTTTAGATCTACTCTAACGGAAATAGAAATAGCAGTAAACTTATCCATAAAACGAGTTTTAACCGGTTAAAAGTTGAAATTCACCTTTGTTAGATTATGGATAAGTTTGCTGCTATTTCCATTTCCGTTAGATTACGTAGTCCTAAAGCAATATCCTGATTGGCTCATCGGCTTAAGTTTACGTCTTACAGTTACTGTTGCGGAATTTTGTGTGCAGCAATCCTAGGACTCTAAGCGGTAGCCTATAGCATGGATTCATATTACATTATCTAGTTTTCATTGAGGATTTAAACTGGATCAGAATGTAAGAACCAACCAACTATAATCGAGCATTCTCTTGTCGTTCGACTGTAATAGGGGAATATTCGTAGTTGATTGGTTCTTACATTCTGATCCGATTTAAACCCTCGGTGGAAACTAGGCCGTTGACTGTGTTCAGCAGAACGCAATAATTTTGCAATTGTTTTATGATTCTCTGCTGAGATAAAACCATTCCTTTTGATCTAAAAGCATAACGCAACCAGCGCGAAGAAAACTTCTAGTTTCAAAATAAATGTTCCGCTGAACGTAGCCATTCATTTTCTCCGTAGCTCTGCTATAATTTTATCGACAGTGTTATATGATCGATGTAGCTACGTAGTATTCAAATCGAAAATGGGATGTACTGTCGCTAGTGTACGAACAATTTCGATGGTAATACGAAAAACGCCGGCCTGTTGTTTTTGTCATTTCTCTCTGTCTAAAGAATGTTCAAATATAATTTTATATATTTAATATCTAATTGTTACTAGATATAATTATGAATGCAATTACTCTGATCGCTATATTATACATTGCTGAATTATGTTGCAGTACTTTATTACCACCAACAGGAAAAAATAAGAAAGAAAAAGGAAAGTTTCACGATAAAGTAAGAATCAATTAAAGTATATTCTATTCGCATTTATATAAATAATTATTTAGAATGCGGGTTCCCCCTTAGAATCTTAATAGAAATGTACTCATTCGACGCGTTTTCACTTCAAAACAAAAGAACCTTGCAAAAACAAAACGCGGCGGTCAGCCTCGTGAATTGAATTAAATATTAAAAAGTTTGAGACTTTAGAGGTTAAGATATCTGTCATCTCCACTCGATACAGCGCTATGTAAACGGTCTACATTAATTACACAAATTCTATACTTCACAAATACAAATTCACTACTTTAAAAATACGGTGAATTTGTGTTTTTAAAGCAGTGAAATTGTAATTGAAGCTGAACATATATAGAGCTGCATCGAGTCGGGACAGATATCTTAACCATTAAAGTCTCGAATTTCAACGCTTAGTAACTCGATTTAATAGACCGACTGCCACGTTTTTTGTCAGATTCTTTCGTTTTGAATGAAAACGTATGCGTATTTTTATTCTAGGGGGAGGGGGGGGGGCGTATTTTAAATAATTATCTTTATATGTAAGTATAGTAAAAGCGCAAAGCTGATTCTACAATGAGTCGGTAGTCAGAAATCTTAAGTCTCTTGGTAACCTTTTATCTTTAGGTAACCACATATTGTGTGAAAATGGATCATTCGTCCAAGTTGGCTGTTGGCCAACTTCACTGATTCACCGACAAGATTTAGGATTGCTGACTATCTTATTGTAGAATCAGCATAAAATACAATAACTATATGTATACATACTTATTAACAATATATATGATTTAGTTTTAGGAAAAGTAAAAACTGAAAATATTTGAAAATAAGGTAATTATACAGTTTAGCATATTTAAAAAATCAATAAAATTATATTTATTCGACGTTTTTGCATGAAACGAAAGAATCTGGCAAAAATAGCGTCGCTTTGCCCTGTGGTCCGAAATATTAAGCCTTAAAGTTGCTAACTGTTGAGGTTAAGAAATCTATCAGTGAAAAAAATAAAGGTAATTCTTCAGAAGAGCTACCTCCGATGAAATTAGGCTTATTCAACGCGTTTTTGCGAAAAAAGAATCTGACAGAAAATAATCCGGGACTGCTCTGCGAAGCGAGATATTGGGCGTTAAAGTTGACTAAAGTGTTACTATATTAGGTGCATTCGGCATTGCAAATCGGAGGCGTCCATTTGCTCTCTTTTACCTCGAAAATTGTTCGGCATCTTGCATCTTTCTGTTACATGTCATCTCATCTGCATTCGGTATTAACATTTCTAGAGCCAATCGAACTGCTCGACCATTCCGGATTCAAAGACCGAGTTCGCAGAGCTAATGCACATTTTTGTGCCTAAATTAAATTCATAATCTGTATATTTATGATAATGTATCCAACTGATTCTTTAACACACATAACGTACATTCATCTCTTTTAATATTTCTATTTTACAAATAATATATTTGAACTGTTATAATGTCTGAGTCTACAAACGCTCAAATAAATGCAATATCAAATAGAAATTGATGGAGTACATTATGTATAATATTTAACGAGGAAAGTAAATTTTTAATTCTTTTCCTCTTTATGAATTTGAAGTTACATATTTGAAAATAAAGAACTTGCTAATTAATTTTTAGATCAAAGTTTATGTTGCACATATAGAATAAAATAAAATCAAACTGTATTAAAGACTAACGAATATAAATCAAGTGATCTAACTTATAAATTGCTGAAATTTATTTTGCAATGTAGTATTTTCTTTTAAGAAAACACATCTTGCATGAGTCTGCTACATTCATGTGTAACGATCTATTTAGTACATAAGACTATTATTAGTTTCTAGTAAAGCGAAAGAAATTTTGAATTAATAGGGTATTTTTTATTTTTTAAATATTAGAAAGTGGCTAATTTGTTACAAAGATTAAATGAAAAAGAGCATACAGCCACGCTACAGATGTAAAGTAGTAGATTGTAATTACATTATTTTTTCAGAAATAAATTGAGAGCCGATAATTTATCGGATTCACACAATCATTCTGATAATTCCCCCAAATTTTTCCCAAATCTTAAAAATTATAATAAACTTATTGCGAAAAATATTGCCTCGGCCGGGAGTCGAACCCGGATCTCTTGCATTCCGTGACGGAATAAGTTTATTACAATTTTTAAGATTTGGGAAAAATTTGGGGGGATTATCAGAATGATTGTGTGAATCCGATAAATTATCGGCTCTCAATTTATTTCTGAAAAAATAATGTAATTACAATCTACTACTTTAC